AGTAAAGGTCACTAAGGAAAGGTCGTATATTATTAACATTTTGCATCCTCAGCTAACATGCAGTTAGTTAACATTCTGTAAAAACAAACTCGGAACCTGAGCTGACCCCTCAAAAATAAAGGCCATTCTCTTTATATGTTTTTTTATTTTACACATATCACATTAAGTTCTTTCTTCTTTTTCGCTTTTTTACGATTTCAGCAAGTAAAACTGTCACATATCTTCTAAGGCCTGAGCTGCATTCGCCTTCTCATCTCTCCCATCTCTGCATTTCCCCCAGTATCTGTCCCTCAAGCACATGTGGCAGATTCTGCATGACCGAGCTCGCTCAGAGAGGCCGCAGCGCTGTCAGCTCAGATTCGTCTTCGTTGCGGCGGGCGCCTGTTCATTAAGTCCAACGCGGCTCAACAGGAGGCAGGCTACCACATCGCACATCATAAATCCACATTAGAGAGGAGGAGGCACCTCATGTGGAGGGAAGTTGCTGTGGTGGTGACAACAAATTGTCCGGGCCATCGACACGCGACAAAAGCTGGCATTGCCACAGTATCCTCAGGATCAGTTGTGGCGTACCAGGTAGATTAAGGGAATGTCTGTCCCTTTGTTAAAAATCTTTTATCACAGTTCGAGTCTACAAAGCATGCCCCATATGACTGCTATTTACATAGTTTCTTTCTAAGGGAAAGGTCAATGGCTGGGGCAACTTGCCAGGTGTTTGTGGAGCAGCCGACCAGTGCGCTGTGGTGAATGTAATTACGGCACTCTGGCAATCTGATAACCTGCCAGTCTGTCTCTCAGCACTGGGAAAGTGCAGTGGCATATTAAATGTGACTCAACAAACATGGTCTTGAGCAAGAAGCAGTGGCCGTTTGTGTGAGTGTGCAGTATAATGGGGGGGGTCCATAGTAAAGAGACCACAGTTCTTGCTCTGTGCAGGGGAATCAATTCCAACGTTTAGCTGGAGCCTGTGGTGTCTTGGTCGTAGGGTAAATGTTTTGAGAATGTAGCTTGCAGCATCGTTATCACACATTTCAAACACTTAATGTGTTTAATTTGTATCTGCAGTTGTGCATGTGTACTACTACATTAGCTTCTGGTGTTTTAACTATTCTCTACAATCTATGTCATATCTGTCTAAGTAACTCACTGGTTATGGAACAACTGCTTTTGTTTCTTGAGTTTATCCTGAAGGCAGCGCTTCTCCTCAGGGTGGTACGTCCTGGCAAGGCCTTAAAGGTTAAAGCCAGTGAACAAAAGTCTCCCAAGTGCAGTTAAGGTCATTTTACAAAAAAGATTGTACTATGATTGGCTGCAGCTTTCCTAAATAGACAGTGTTATGTATCTGGCAGGAGCTGATAAGGTTTCAGCTGTCTGTCTCCAGCCAAATAAAGTCAGCATCTTCAAATTCTTTTCAATAGCAGAGTAAATCTTTCAGTTTGTCCTGGACTTTTTGGAGAGGAATTCTTTATTATCAAGACTGAAATTTTACAGAATAACCACATGATTCATCCAACTCGGTCGGCTGAAACCTGGTATTAAATTTAATGGACCTTCAAAATACATTCTTGATGAAGGGGTGGGCTGTGTATTTTGACCCTGGTCTTTTACACTGAATTAATCTCAGGAGGTATTAGTGAGCTGTAACTCTTTCGATGTCCACATGTGTTCATGGGTATTATATTAAAGCTAGGCTTGGTAATCCTGCAAATGCAAGCAAGAGCAGGCTACACTGTCATAGAATTCTACAGATACATCAAGGGCATCAACTTTATTGGGACGTAAAGAGGACTTTAACAAATAAGTGTTTTTCGAAAAAAATCAATTATAATAATCCCTTTGAGCTACAGTTCTAAAAGTCTGAACATTTCCTGTGAACCCTGGTTCATGCATAGTCTGTAAAATCCAGTTCAAATACCAACTATTGATTATTCAGTTTAAAGAAAAGCCTCAGTGAGTCAGATCTAATCAGAAATGATTAACAAACTTCTTAACCTGTAAGTGAAGGGCCATTCACACATGAGGCAACAGGAGGCACATCTGCAGAACAAAAACAATGCATCTGTCTGTTCTCTGTTAGTAATAGTCGGGCTTCAGTGGGACAGATAAAAGAAAACAGTGGAGAAGACAAAACATAGTTGACTATCTGAATCCCAGAGCTCCCAGTATCTGCAACAAACCCTGCACTTAGTAATCAAAGCAAATATCCACTGTGCTTCTGTGGAAATGAGCTGTATAGGTGAGGACCCTGGCAAACAGCCGAGGGGATCCAGGGAGCTGCTACAGACACACTGCTGCCTCTTCGGACTACCGTCAACACCATAAGTCAATGACCGGCTATTTAGATGTCGGAGCTGCTCAGAGACCAGTGTTAACAAGCACAAAGGGGCCACTGAGTGAGCCAGAGAAGGTGTGGTTGAAAAAAAGAGAGCATTCTCCTCTCTCATCTGTTTTATTCCTCTTCCAACACTCACTCGCACTTGTTTTTTTTCTCCACTGTAATTACACTTTCTCTGCCAAGCACAGCTTGAGGCGTGGCTGGGCAAAACCAATCATTAATATGAATCTGCAGAGTGTTTGTGTGTGTGTGAGGAAGATGACTATTCACTGATGGTCTCTGTGGAAACATTAGGTCGTAAGCAGCCTGCACCTGCATGTCCCTCCTGGGACAAAGAGGTAAGGAAGCCTCCCTCTGGGGAATTGTATGTGTGTGAGTGTGTGAAGGGAGCCCATCCATTTTTAAAATCAACCTGCAACAATTACAAACAGTCAGGAAGCAAGCACTTGTAACTAACAGCCTGTTAACTCAGGATTGTTGAACCAGCTGAGACCAGCCTGCAAACTCACTGTACAAGGGCATCAGAGATATGAAGGTGTGATGATCAGAATAAAACCCTGAGCAACACACATTAAAGCCAATGAGAAACATAAACCTATTAAATGTGCAGCGTATTACAGACGACCTCACATCTTTCCTTCTTATCGCTGAGACCTGCAAAGCTGTTTTGGAACAAACCTCTCACAGATAAGGAGATTTTTTCAGGTGCGATGTGTGAAACTGAAGGTGTGACGACATGGCTTCAGCCCGCAGAGGCGGTTGCGGGGCTGCTGTGTTTGTCAGGAGGGAAACACACACACGCAGACACACACACACACACACACGGAGCATTAACACCAGCCGGAGCACCAGACCAGAACAGATGGTGTTACACATCGCTTCCCTTTTCGGAGCGCAATCAGACACATCCAGAAATGTGTCTGATTATGGCAGAATTATGGCAGCTTCTGACAGTGAAAAATAAATTTCATATTGAAATCCAAAGACAGTGTCAGATATGAAGAAAGACCACACTGCTGCTGAGACACAAACATGGCATGAGCCATGCTGTTGTACTACAAATGACATGCAGCTGCAGGCTATGTGGGACCAGTGGTTGGGGGGGTGTTGTGTTTGTGTGTATGTGTGAGAGAGCGAGAGATGCAGAGTGAGGGAAGTTGTTATCACTGGATGCATGGCCAGGAGAGGTCACAGTCATTCCTGTGTGCAGACTTCATTAATTTAGACTGCTAGACATCAACATGCATGGTCTTCAAAGAAATATCACTCATTAATTATTAATCCATACAATATGCTATAGAAAATAACAATTGACAAGCGAGTATAAACTAATAGGGCACACTTTATTTTCCAAGGATGCAAGCTCCCCTAAAACAGGCTTACATGAAAAGCAAAGTCGCTTAAGCTCATTTCCATAAAACCTCTGTGTGCCCCCAGAGAATCTTGGGTTCAGTTTGCATTCATTTGCATCTGCCACCGAACGGCGTGGACCATCTCTTCAGGTTTTTGTAGCTGGGGTAATTTGAAATGCTCACAGCACATTCACTGGAGTCTCCTGGAGCGTGTCAGGCCTGCTCACCGGCTCACCGACATTTTTAAAGGAATTTCCTGCACAGCCAAGGATCTGTTTTTATCAGATTCACAGCAAGAAGCAATAACAGCTGGCTGCGATGATCACCTTCTGACTTATTTAAATTAACACAGCATGTCCTTCATTCAACTTCAGACTTTATTTTCTGCTGCAGCAGCTGTTGAAACGTCTGCAAAATGGCAGATGTGAAGACGTTTCACACACTGATGAACTTGTTGACAACTTCGGTAAGACTTAGTGGTTGTCATATGGATCATGATGGCTTTGGCACAACCTCAGGAATGAGTGTATGTGGGTGCTTGTACTTATCTTTGTGAGGACCATTTTGAGTTAGGACATTTTGGGAAAGTGAGGACATTTTGCCCAGTCCTCACTTTGTGACCCACTTTCAATGGACTGTTTGAAGGATTTAAGACTTAGTTTTAAGGTTAGGCATTTAGTTGTGATGGTTAAAGTTAGGGTAAGGGGCAAGGGAATGCACTATGGCAATGGGGGTCCTCACTAAGACAGAAGAATAAGGTTGTGTGTGTGTGTGTGTGTGTGTGTGTGTGTGTGTGTGTGTGTGGCCTCCGCATCACATTCCTTAGTATTGAAATTAAAGGCCCTCAGTCAAGATGGGTCGCATCAAGCCAGAGGCGTTTTATTTAGCTGAATATCTTCACAGAAAAAAAGAGAACAATCACATCCATCTACTAAATCCAAAAAACTATGCAATGTGCACTATAATCATTCAAAAAAAGGCCATACTCTATATCACAAATTCACATATTAAAAGAACAAACTTATAAACAAGCAGCATAGCATTTCTCTGCAGCAGAGGCATAATGAGAGGGAGGCGATGACCAGCAGTGTGTTTTTGCCGGGTACTAGTCAATGTACTCCATCCGTTTATCCTTAAGGAAAAGTAAAAATAGAACACATCACTTTTTGCAACTCTCCAAAAAAAACCCTTTGTCATGATTCATTGTCCATGCAATGTTACGCGGAAGAGACGCAGTAAATGTCACAGCTTCCTTGTACTTGTAGAGGACATGCGGCAGTGGTGGGAGGGAGGTCAGATGGCAAATGTAAAATCTGAATAGCATCATGGGGGGGGGAAAGGAGAAGGGGAGGAAGACTTTCATGCAAATCTTAAGAGTTTATGTGATTTCATATCTCACTGCAGGGTCCCAGACACTGTCCCATCCTGGATCACACATCTGAATTGATGCTCAGGTTGGCCAAACGTGGGTCAGAGTTTATCTCATACCTGTAATGGTACCCCTCCATATGGTCCCTACAAGCATCCCGGATGTTGTAAATCCAACGCTTGATACCTTTTCTGTTTAGGTAGAGCACCAGCAGGAAAATGACGCCGATCAGTGCTAGCACCAATCCCAGGAATACATATGAAGTCTCCAGCACGCCCTCCATCTTGCCCAAACACTTCAGCTGCGACAGCTCTACCTGAAGAAGTGGCTGGTGCCTCAGGGCCTCAGGGTCAGCGCATGTGAGGTTCTGCACGTCCATTACCTGAGTGGAGTTTTTCAACCACAGCAACATCTCCTCAATGAAGCAGTCGCAGCGCCAGGGGTTCCCCGCCAGCCAGAGGCTAAGACCAGGCTTGAGGCTGAACTCCTCCAGGGTGGTGGTTGGCAGGGCCCTCAGGCTGTTGTCTCTCAGGTCAAGGTCACGCAGTGGGGGCACCTTCAGGGTCCCGTTCTGGATGGCGATAATGGAGCTGTTCTGCAGGCTGATGTTGATCAGGTTGGAGAGGCTGCTGAATGCGTCGTCCGGAAGAATCAGAAGGTCATTGTTGGACAGGTCCAAGACTTTGAGTAAGTGGAGTTTCCCACTCTGCAGGACACTCAGGACCACGTCTATGCGGGAGTAATTGTGAAAAGAATTACTGAGGTTCAGGACCTGCAGTTTATTCTCAACAGGTAAAGCTCTGTCACTGAAAGTCTGGAAGTTGTTGTTGCTCAGGTCCAGTCGCACAAGGTTTGGCAAGTTGTCAAACACCATAGCACCCACTGACTCCATCTCATTCCCACTGAGATAGAGGTCTGTTAACATGTCCAAACCGGTGGGGAAAGAGTCCGAGCTGATGTGGGAGATGTTGTTTCCCGTGACAAAAATGATTTTGGTATTGGTGGGAAAAGAACTCGGAATCGCGACCAAGTCCTGGTTTTGGCATTTCACAGTTTGTGAGGAGCACACGCATCTGTTCGAACAGCAGTGACAGGACAGTGTGACTGCGAGGAGGACAAGTAAATGCATCATAGAGGAATTGCGCGATCCTCCTCGGTTACATCCCAGCGACGTGCTCAACGGGCGCATCTTTGAATTCTTACAAATCTGTGTGCGCAGAGCGGTGCGTAAAAAAATCCAGCTCAGTCGCCGCCTTGTTCTTCCGCAGGGGAAAGTTTTCCAAAATGTGTCTGACACTTTTTCTCCTTGCGAAAACTTGCACCCGATCGCAACACGGACTCCATAAAACTACCCCCACACCATTGTTGCCTCGGGATACGTCTACATTTCCACGAGGATAAAGGTGGTGAGGACGGAGCGCGCAAACTTTTAGGATCCTCTTCGCCTCTTTTCCTCACCTCGGGGCTTCTTTAAGAATACAGCAGCTACGAGATATTTCTCCAGCCAAGGGAAACAACCAGGTCCGCTGCAGATGACTTCTGTTCCCGACACGGACAATGCTCCCTGTCTCCCAGAGGTGCCTTGTGTTACACGCGGACCCTCAACCTGCGTCTCTCCACGTCTCCCGATCCTGGAGAGCAGACGGAGCAGCAGCTCTGCACACAGCGGCGGTAACAGGGAGCGTACCATCCTGCAGCACCGAGAGGGGGGGAGCACGGAGCGCACGCACGTTTATTTGAGTCTCATTGAAATGTCACATCAGTTATGACACGTGCTTTTTTAAAGGAAACACCAGTCTTACGCCATAGTCAAACATCCAAATGGATTCATCGGGGCAACTTTAAAATAATTTGGAGTACGAGAGCGCACGGTGACTCGGGGGCCAGGGACATCTGCTGGTCCCCCGAGGGAGCTCCAGTGACGTCTCCCCCAGCTTCTCAACACATTACGCCATGCAGTAACATACATTACGTATCATCTGATCAGACGCTTTGCAGAAGAGCGAGTCTCCGTTTGAGATGCTCACTCTACGTCACGAGCGAACACCAAGTTATTTACAAGTTCTTGGAATAGAATATCTTCAGGGATATGTGGTGGGGAAGTGACTCCTCCTGTTGGGCAACGGAAAAAACGGGGATTCCTGTGGGTTACGCAGTTTGATCAATAGGCCTTTTATTACATCTGATATTTAGCCCAGTTCAACAAACTGTGAACACATTTATAGTCTTACGGAAAAATACAAGTAGCCTGAAAGGAACCGAGAGGCCTAAAAGGCAACTGGTAAAGAAAACACATTCAATCATTTAATCCACTGATTATATCTTTACAACTAAAAGCCAACTATTTATGTAGAAAAGCCACAATCCCTACATGGCGTCTATATAGTCTTGAACCCTCTATTGCATGAATTATTACTTCTATTATAACTTCTATACGAAATGTTTTTATAACATGAAAGTGCTACAATAATGGAAATATAAAAAGAATATAAAAATAATTAAAGGCTGATTCTGATACACATCAGAATCAGCCTTATTGGCCAAGTGTTTGTACACATATACAGTATTTGACTCTGATTTTACATTGCTCTCAGTATACCCAAAATGATTCAAATATACACACAGCTTGAGACAAGGACAACAAAAAACTAAACCAACACGTTAAAGAATTGTGCAAAAATACTGAAATCCTAGTGGTGGATGGTCTGGATTGTACAGTACAGAAGGATGTAGTGCTTAGGCAGGTTATTGAAAACAGCAATTGCCTACACCATAAAAGTATGCACAATGAGTAAGAAAATACAAGTATAAATATTTATGAATGCATTATCTTCTTTTATCTCTGCAGGTTTCGCTGCACGGGATAGGAAGAAGCTCTATCTCATCTCTGTGGTATAATCAGAATTGATCAGAGTGTTTCTGGTGCAGATAAAGCTTAAGCAACTCCTGGGTCTCATCAATGTGAGAGGTTTGCCCCCATACTTTAAAATTGATTTTTTCAAGATGCAGTAAACAGGGTTACCATCCCCTACAGAGATAATAAAGAAATAAACACATGTAACATGATCCATCAAACAATGGAATACTCTGATTATTGTATTTCTCTCAGATGCTCTCCATATCTTCTCCTGAGAGAAGATTTTTTAGTGGTGGCCCTTGTGATGAAAGCATTGTCTGCTGGATTATGCAGGATTATACTGCAGAAGAAACATAACTGTGGATGTGTTCAAGCTTGAGTGAGGTGTGTGAGTGGTGAGTGAGCGCATGCTCATCAATATGTCATATTTGGAAGCTCCTGTGTGTAGCCCAGTGTAACCTTAGCTTCACCCTGCCTTGACCCTTTCCTATTCTTAGCCAGGGTCAATGTGACAATCATCTGTAATTCCATGACACCTGGATTGGGGCTGGAAGTGATACTGCACTGTAAGAGTTTGAAACAAAATTGATGTAACCGACATGATGTTCTTGTGGAGGATCTACAGATGTTTTTACATCCGTCTTTCATGATACCTCGAGTGTGGGCTGCTCAAAACGTTTGGTGTTGAGTATCACATCATTAATCCCCTGTTAAAAACAGCAAACCAGGATTTTGTCTCGCTTATCCACTATTTATTTTAAAGCAGCTTTTAAGATAATCAAAGAGAAAAACAAAGGACTGTCTTGCCTTCGGCATATAGAGTGGAAGTTGCCTTTCTCCCCCCAAAACATCTTTATGGTTCATTATGTTTCTAAACCTGGAGAAAGATTTGTACAACCTGCAGGTCATCGGAGAGATGGACGTCTGTTTGGGGCCCAATAATTAATTACATAGTAAATTAAAAACACTGCAGGATGAATGGAACACTGATGATGTACATTCCACCCGAACATATCAAGAGATGTTATTTATATTACAGGACATTGCTCCTCTTTTTCATCATTTATTTAATAAATATTTCCTTTATTTTATTTTGTCATTTAGTTTTGTATTATGATTGTTGAATCTCATGTGGGACCAGGGATGGGGGGTTAAAATGTTAAAAAATAAATCTTTAATGTCCAATGAATGCCATTTTATCTGTTAATCTGATTCTAAAATAAAATATTGGATAAAACAACATTTAAACTTAGTCTCTTCTCTTATTTGCATCTTAGTGAAAAAGGTACTGGAACTTAGGAGAGAACAACATTAACCCTATGAACCCTGTTAGCATTAATTAAGTGATTAAAAAATCTTAAGGCATGCGGTGTAACATGTAATGTTAGATCAACCTTAAATGATGCAGGAATCCTTTAGGATTAATTCACAATGTATAAATCAGTCTTATTTTGATATCTTGAACTTTTTTTCATTATGTTGTAATAATTTTTAAATAATTTTATCTATAAATCAAAAAATAAAGAAAAATCTGTTACATCCATAGAGTGGATCCATCACGTCACAGATTCAGCCACAGCGGTCCGCCCACAACCAGCCCGCAAAACCAACCAATAGGACAGCGGTATGTACAAGCCCTGACCAATCAGAAGTCTCGAACCTAGTGTGGGTTTTCTTACCCAACCTGCAGGGTTGAAGGCGTCAGTCCTGTCAGAATCTGCCCCGGTGGGAATTTGTGTTTGTTTGTAGTAATGACTCAGTGGATGTACGTCGTTGATGCAACTTTCTCCATGTCTCCTTCTCTCTTTATCTAGCGGAAGGTAAGAAACTCTACACGACGCTAATCTCCAGAAGGCGAGCGCTAGCTTGCGATGATGTGTCAGCTAAGCTAGCGGCTAGTCGAGAGTTAGCTAACCCTGGCTTGCAGCACTTTGCAGAATGTTCAAACCTGAACCTTTCCATGCTCTGTATATACATTTGCCCACGCTGGGTGACGAGTCTGCGGCCAGGCTTGGAAATACATAAAGTAGTTCATTGCTCGACGTGTAACGTTGTCCTGCTTGGGTGCAGCTGTTTAGCACGCTAGCCACATAGCATTACCTTCCAGATCTCGTTGTAATAAAGCTTATTTTGCGTCACAGTGGCTCAGCGCTTTCATGGTTTTGCTCAGATCTCTATGAGGGTTTGAACAGAAACGAAGCTAACACTGAAAACTGACAAGCTTACATTTAGTGGATTAATTAGCCTGTGGCAGAATGCTCCTGTTGAGTCAACATTTTTAATATTAATAAGGGCAGTTTACACAAATGTTATCCATATGCAGACTATATGGAGAGTTAAATATTCTTAGGATTATTAAGTTTAGACCAATAGTCCTAATCTTTGATTTGGTTTGCAAACCGATGTCAAATATCTGTTGACTGTGAATTGATCTGAGCTATATAATACTGTGATTCGGCCAAAAGGGTTCTGACCTTTACTGTTGCAATTTTGCATGTGAACAAATGTGAATATACGTCGTTGTTTTTCATTGCTAACTCTCAAATGTTTTCTCCTCAGGTGCACTCTACAATTATGGAGTTTTGAAAGGGAAAGTGAGAGTTTGGGGGGAAAGGAGCCCTTTCCCCTCAAGTTTGATGGTTGGACTGCTGGACAGGAAGGTCAGAGGGTTTGTTGAAAGAAAACGTTGCCTTTTGTAAATCAGTAGAGGAAAATCTATTTTTGCAAACACTCAAATGTACAATTTTGTATAAAACTCAGAATAATTTTTTGTATTTATTGAATTCTTAATGCCAATGTATGCTGCAAGCACTTTAGTTTGTTTTCAATTCTTGGTCAAAATGGTGGACTGAAACAAGTCGCTCTGGGGTCGCTAGGGTGCAGTGGAACCTCAACACAAGCACAATTCTAGCACTCCAAACCATCTCAACCTTTTATTGATAATTTTTTTGTCTATGTACCTTTAGCCTCTTGGAGAGCAGCTATAGTTTGCAATTTTTCATTGAATTTATTTGTTGGTGGTTGGCTGTGAGAAAGACTTTGTAAAACATAAGGAAGGATAGGTCACTGAAGAATCAGTGAAAGTCAGGATGAGTCTTGCACCGAATAACTGCACCCCCAAATGCCGCTCACTGCAGCACGCAAACGATGTGATAGCTGCACTGACGAGTGGCTCCGAAAGGCCGCTACGGGGATTCTTGTCTTCACACTGCCACAATGTGGCCACCTTGCGAGATGACTTTGGCCGCACAGCCCTGCACATGGCGGCCTCAGTGGGAAAGAAGGCCGTGCTGGAGTGGCTCCTGGAGAGTAAGAGTGCTGACCTGATGGTGAAGGATAAAGAATCATGCTGGACTGCTCTACATCGCAGCGCCTTCTACGGACAGATCCACTGTCTCATATCGCTAGTCAAGGTATTTGTTCATAGTAGATCCTTCACAAAATGTCCTGTCTACAGTCAGTAAAGGTTTTTATTAGCATTATTAACAGGGGCATGAAAAGTTCCCATTCATTACCTTAGTAAAATGAGTCCAATATCATGAGACTATTTTCCTTCCAATATGTTATTTTTAACATGCAGAAATAAGTTTTTTTGGATCAGTTTTTTATACAAGCAAAGTGAGTAAAAAGTCATTTTTCCGAAACTTGACCCAGATATTGTGTTTCAGCATGGTGGACTTCTGTCCACCCAGGACAAGGAGGGTCTGTCTGTCCTGGACCTGACGATGAAGGACCGACCAACACATGTTGTGTTTAAAAACACTGGTAAGAAAAGTTGAAAAAGACCCTCATGTAAATTGACATTGTCATAAATGAAAATTAGGCCTGGTGATTTTCACACCTTTATATGTACATGGATATATTTCTCACTGCTTTATCAACATGTCTTTTTTGCCATTATAATTTATGTTTTAACCAGAATGATTTGTGTTACCTCTTCCAGTGCTCAACAGTCCTCTAATGAAACTACATGTAATTAGGATTATGTCAAGTCAGGATTATTATTTGAATCTGCTTCACATTAAATAAATAAATAAAAATAACTATCTTAAAGAAAGCATAAAAAAAAATCCTGGATCCGCCCCTTGTTCCGGATCTGCACCAAAATGTGTGGGGTTCTTTTCCTGACTCATACAAAATCCTTTTGCCTCGTTTCATGGTCATCCGTCCAGGAGTTTGTGTGTAATCTTGCTGACTAATAAACCAACTAAAAAAGAAATGGACATGGGTAAAAACATTATCACCTTGGTGAAAGTAATTATTGGACATTCCTCTTAATGCATTGGTTGAAGTGTTTTTGGAGGTTGAAGCAGTGTTGTGACTGAATTTTCTCCTTAATTACAGACCCAACTGAAGTATACACATGGGGAAACAATACCAATTTCAGTCTGGGCCATGGTAATCAGGAGAGCCGGCAGCACCCGGAGCTTGTGGATGTGTTTGCCAGGACGGGAGTTTACATCAAGCAGGTAGACATGTAACAGCAGTGTTGTCATAGCTCTCCAGGGAAATTAGAAAGTGCATTCCTAAAGCAAAAGGCTTCCTCCAACCTGATGACCCACTTGCATGCATAATGCCAGTAAAAGCCTTGTGCTTTATCTCTGTGCCAACATGTGTTTTATCAAAAAAGAAGAAGCTAATGTACATGGGTACTCCAGATGGAGCACACCACATGGGAACACCAGAAAAACAGTCCCTCCCTAGAGTCATGTATTACACAATGTTCTCCTCGGGGTACATCTGCATTTACAAAAAAAATAAATGTTTTTTTGAAGCGTGGATCGTACTTGACTTGGTGATTCCACAGCTGTAATAATATTTGATATACTTGAGTTTTTAACTGTTGGTGGTGGTAGAACCAAGGCACATTATATATTTAGGCATGCTTGAGTAAACCAGAGACATCGGTCTTTGATAACTGTGGATTTGGTAGCTGGGGGTATAGGCACACAAAAAGATACCAGCAGTAATATTGACTGAGTCAAATAGAGGTCATTATTGGTGTGTCAGGCAGGGAATGATCAGCTTTGCCTTCTCCTATAAAGTCAATTTGTCAGTGTAAGCGTGGTCAGACTGTGCCAGCTAAGCTACAATTTCATGTGTTTGTCATTTAGATGCTCTTAGTGTGATTAATATAGCTGCTGGCATCAGCGCAGCTACCCCCAGCGGTGTGGATACACACCAGGTGCTGGTTATAGTAGATTAAGTAATGCAGAGTGACTGTGTTAGATAAGTTGTCATTTTAATCCACCCTGAACACTTGGCATTTGAAAGCAGGTTTGCGTATTTGGTAAGAATTTATTTATAGTATTTGTGATGCTTTATTATCGCTGTTTACAGAAGAGACTGGTTGGAGGTGTTTTCTGACTTGCAGAAGTTGTCATGCAGACTAATTTCATAAAGCCTAGTGGGGGACGGGTGGATCAAATTTCATGACCACACAGTGACCCAGTGGCACAGTGTATAGTCTTTGTCCTCCCAGTCCAATCCAGCAGGTGCAAGAGGTTAAATATTCATTCCACAATGACATGTTTTTAATTAAATGAAGCTACACTCATGTGTGTGAATGTCCACATCAATGTGATACTTCGGGAAACATCCCTGTACTCTATTGAAGGATTGAGGGGACCAATGTATTAGTAATGATGTTTGCTTTTCCACTTGTGCTCCGTCCTTTATTGGCATAGTGTTTTACTATCACTACAACAGGGCTTGGCTGAAGGACATGGAAAGAGATGCATCGCAGCCTCTGCTATGAGGTCAAATTATGATGATAAGAGCCTAATCTGCACAAACCAATACCTCAGATGGTTTCTTCCCCAAAAATAAGACTTAAATTATTACAAATATATAGCAACAACAGAAAAATCATGTTCATATTTAATCTCCTTTCTTTCCTTAGGTGGTTCTGTGTAAATTCCACTCTGTGTTCCTGTCTCAGAAAGGCCAGGTGTTCACCTGTGGCCATGGACAAGGAGGACGACTTGGCCATGGAGATGAACAGACTTATCTGGTGAGACTTGTCATAGGGCATTATTTTGGTACAACCTTGTATTACAGTAAAGCTGCTTACAGACATGCACTGAACTCCGAGGCTCTGGACTTTCTCCTGCCAGCCCAGAGTAAAAAAACTCTGGAACATGTGAGTATACAGCAGGAAATCCTCCAGAGGGTTCACGCGAACCGGTGGCCGTGTTGATGTTTCTAACACAAATATAAAAAAACAAAAACAAAACAACTATCTCAGGATAAAATACTGGTGCCATACACGTAGAAGATGCTGACGAAGCTGTCACGAGAGCATTGTGATAAGGGCTGACGGCATATGCTGTCAACAAAAACTTGATCTCTGCAGTGTAATTTGCACTGCCTCCTGCCTGCTGTGCAGAGATTAGATTAGAAATAGCTCACACATGGCTCTCTCTGAGGTTTCTATAATTTTCCCCCTGTTAAAAGGTTTTTTTTCTGGTAGTTTTTCTTTACTCTTGCTGAGAGTTAAGGGCAGAGGATGTGGCAACTTGTTAAGCCCTGTGAGACAAATTATGATTTGTGAATATGGGCTATAAAAATAATATTTGATTTGACATTCTGCAGAGTTCATGAAATGTTTGAGTCCACAAAACACTTCTGGAGTCTCAGAAGTAAACTTTGCTGCAGCCGATTCCGAAACAATTGAAGTCAATTGCGACATACACTTCAAATGTAATAAAACAACAGAAAAAACATTACACACCTTTATACTGCTTGTGTGGTGTCATCCAAGTGTCTTCAAGCCCTGACATTCATATTCCACTGGAAAGAGGTCATTTACACTGTGTTTTCAACTGAACTAGTTCATTTTAATTGTGAACTGGCACAACACTGATCCCTGGAGTGTTAGCAAGGATGATGAACCCCGTCGGTGACCGTAAAAAATACCTCCACAGTACAACGAAACAAGACAGTTGCTGCTCTGGTGCGTTGCAAATAGAGGGATGGTATAAATATTTTTTTCCAGGAGTGGCAGAAGTGCATATATATACCATGTACCATAGGAGAACCCATTTTAATTATTTACACATTTTCATAATGTACTTTACACACCTTTACACCTTTGTTGAATTCTCCATGCATATTTTCTCATCTCTGCTAATGAGCAGATGCAGACTTCACACACATTGCTGAACTGGTTAAATACATTCATTGTCAAATACAGTGAGGAAGTGTTTATCAACAGTAGCTCAATGCAATAACATGACCTCAATAAAGCAGATGAGGGGATCACAGCATACAATAACAGGGCTGTGTCAATGCTGTCATAGTGTCTGCGTGCAAGTAGTGATGATTCTTGACCCTGCAAGGTTATTTTTTAAATATTTGCAACCATCTTCTCTTGACTCGCCTCAGGTTCCTCGGATGGTGGAGGGTCTGATGTCCCACCACTGCTCCCAGGTGGCAGCAGCTAAAGACCACACAGTGGTTCTTACTGAGGAAGGATACGTTTACACTTTTGGCCTCAACACCTTCCACCAGCTTGGCCTAGCTCCTCCTCCCACCTCAGCACATGTCCCTAAACAGGTAGGTGGTAGCATGACAGTGCATGTAAAAGTGTTTTAAACTTGAATGGTTTTTTGGTGTCTAAAATTACATTTTGTTAAGAGATATATAATGAATTATCTTTTTAATAGATTCATTTCTTGTTATCATCTACTATTATACTTTGGGAACTATAATCCATCAGTGTATATATTATAATATTAATTTCCCTTTAATCTCTTGAGTAGGTGTTCTCCAAGACCCTGAAAGGGAGGACGGTGATTGGAGTTGCAGCAGGGAGGTTCCATACAGTGCTGTGGACCAGGGAGGCTATCTATACAATGGGACTCAATGGAGGCCAGTTGGGTAAGTGTCAACACTGAAATGTCAGCAAAGCCACTGTCAGTGGAGATCATTCTACTGCTTTTAAGACCCTACGGTCCTGTTCAGACCTGCTATTAACATCTGTCCTGAGAAATCCATCACAAGTGGGCAGTGCTAAGTTTGTATGTTCACACTTGCCATTGAAATGCATCCAGTGAATGTGTCTCCTGTGACCACATGTGATCAGATCTCACTTCCTTGCACTATATGAGTGAGTTAATAGATGGGACTAATTGCATTGTTTGTCTATGTGTCTTTGTGTCAGCGTGAGGAAGTGAGAGAGAGGAGTCAGGAGGGGCTGAATGAATAGGATTTTACTAATTTAAGAAAAGGGTCAATCCTTTGGCTGAGAAGTGTGTAAATCCATCTAAACTGTCAATGGTCAGAAGTCAGCTGAGTCAGCGGTTAGAGTAGTTATGCGTTCACTCAAAAGAAGCCAGGTGTTCATGTAAAGGATATTTTTTACACCAATGTGATTTAATCTCTAGGTTACCTCCTGGATCCTAATGGAGAGAAGTGTGTGACAGCCCCCCGGCAGGTATCAGCCTTGCACCATAAAGATGTTACCATAGCCATGGCAGCAGCGAGTGAGGGAGCAACAGTAGTGGTTACTGAGAAGGGGGACGTCTACTTATTGGCCGACTACCAGTGCAAGAAAATTGCTTCAAGGTGAATAAATAAAACGCTTGGTCTTTAACCATCACTCCTTGGACTGCAAAAATGTGAAAGACCCCCTCTTCTTCCATCTCATTACAATAATGTACAGTCACTCCTACTCTGTCTATGATATTAAAATGCGGCATACCTGTTCCTCTCTGTTAGGTAACACATTTTTGGCCACATGTCTTTTTGTAGGGGAAATATCAAAATATCAGCCTATCACAAATGTAATAAAAGCAATTGATTGAGCAAATTGACTCATATTACCACAATCGTTCAAAAAATCAGAAACTACATTATTATTTATTTCCAAAATCCTGCTTCCCATCACAGTAATTGAGGCCACATCTCCTCTTGTAGTAGTAGTGAATGTAGTACTCATTCATAATTAACAAAAGACTACATCTTGTGATGTCACACAGAGAACCAGCAGAGGCACTGTGCACTCTGTGTCACGTCCATTATTCTAATCTGGCCTCATTTGAATGACAGATGATCTTAAACCAGCCTGGAAACTGGAAACCGTCGTGTTATAGTTTTCTCTGCTTTGCGTAGTGTAGCTCTGAGAGCGTTTGTTGGCTTGAAAAGGCAGATGAGCTTAATGCATGTCTGCCTGTTCAATAGCAATAACTGAACAGTCAAGTTATCAGAAGTGATAATTAAATGAGTGTCCTCCATGTAATATCCATACATAGACAAATGGGTTATGTGATTTATTATAATAGTAAGTTTGACATGACACATTTCTTTCTAATAATTATTTTTGCTTTGTCCTGTTCAGGCAACTCAACATTAAGAAGGTTCTCGTCAGTGGCGGCAGTCTGGACCACCGTGTGGATCCACAGATCCTGAATGAGGGAGGAGGGGAAAAGGTGGTCATCTTGGCGTTAGATGAAGCTGGGAGAGTAAGTGTGTTCATCAGGTAGAGGAGGAAATGCTGTTCTTATTGTTGTTAAGGCAACTGGTTGGGAGAAACATTTCTCTTAATTTGACCTAAATCTACTTTGAAACGATAAAACTAGTTTCATTTGACTTTTACTTCAGTTTATAAATGTTGACACACTGAATGCATTATTGATATAGAAAGTTTCTTAACTTTCTGTACTGTTATCTAACGTATGGTGTACACAGTTATACAAAGCAGAGTTGGATCTATATGGAGTCGGTGACTCAGACTTAAATTTCCTCCTTTCTGTGTTGTTCCCCTCTCTGTCAGGTGTTCTGCTGGCGTTCTTCCGGCAGCTCGGTGAGACAGTGCCGGTGGGCGTACGGGCGTCAGGTTTTCATGTCGGACATAGCTCTCAGCAAGAACAACATGATGTTTGTGACTCAGGACGGGGAGGGTTTCAGTGGCGTGTGGGCTGGAGAATATAGGAAGTATGGTGAGAAGAAAGGTGAGGAATTTAGATTTGCGGTTTACGTTATATTACTTTGCAAAAGTTAGTTGAGGATTTGAAAATGATTTTAATCAATGCTTGTATTAAACTTTACTAAAAGGACTTCAACTGACAATATACTTGGCAGCATAATTCAAAAGAGATAGCAATAGTGACGGCAAACAACATAAAAGGCATCGTTAAAGCAGTTTTTAAATATATGTTTTAAGAATTGATTTTGTATGATTTCTATTACTGCTTAATCTGATTTACATGTGTTCATCCAGAGGTCAGTGTGGAGGTTTGTGGCCATTCAGATGCTGGGACACTGTATGAGCGAATCCGCTTGGAGAAACTCCCATATGTCCACAGAGCTGTCAGCATCACCATGGACTCAAAAGGCCGAAATTTTGGGGGGCTTCAGGCTGACCCCAAAACAAGGTGGGAGATCATTGTTAAAGCATAGCATTTGGTTTATTTAGTCTGTATAAAAAGAATTGAAGCCTTAACTTTCGTAAGTGTGAAGCGCAGCCTGTTGGTTAGCATATTTTTTCTGTTTGAGAGAGACGACCGCCCTGCTCTGCTGCTAAAAAAAAAAATCCTGGGGGAACACAGAACAAACACTACTGTTGTAACAACAGGATTTGCTGTTTGTCTGTTTTTTCTCATTTTCAATTTCTTGATGTATTGATATTTATTTTTTTCTATTGCATTGGGCAGCTTGCTCTTGTCCAGTTATTACTCAGCTCTCACAGATTATATGGGTTTTCTCTCTGTTATTGATATAGAAGTCATTTTTGATCATTTTGATAATTGTTCAACATCCACTTTGTCTTTAATCTAGCTTGTATGAGATTCCAAGCATTTCTCCATCCTGCCTCTTCCAACACTTCCGGAGCCTTCTGGATGAGGCAGATGAAATGGACAGCATCCACGACGTGACGCTTCAGGCCGGCAATCGCACCTTCCCTGCTCACAAGTACATCTTGTCAATGAGGTCCGAGTTCTTCCAGAGGCTGTTCATATCCGAGCACAGTGGGGTTGGTGATGATCTCGATCAGGAAGTGAGGAAGAGCGAAGATGCTGTGGGCTGCGACTTACTCATTTTAGAAAAAATCCCGCCAGACATGCTCGAATACGCCCTCCACTTCATCTACACAGACTCCTGCGAGCTGCTGGTGCACGGGGCCCGGCCAAGGGTCTCAGCGGCCCTGATGGGTGAAAATCAGGTTAGGGGGAGGGGATTGTAAGGTGTTAATCTTTAATATTTATGTAACACAGCCTCAGCAACAGAATTCTGATATATTTGGTGTCACTATACAAAATATTAGCTGTAGCTATGAAAGAGAGCTGTTTTGTCTGACTCAGCTGTGTTTATTTTATAAAGTGGGCCCCACTGTCTCTATTGCCTTGGCCAGGATTCAGAGCAGGAGAGGCTTATCAGCAGCCTGCAGGACTTGGGCCTGAGAGGTTGTTCAGCCCTGGAGGTGTACCGCTCCCTTCCCCCTGCTTCCACTGAAGATGGCAACAAGGCCAAGAGCAAGGGCTCCAAGCCTGGCAAGAAGGTGAAAGGAGGCAAAGGTGACAAGGCAGGAGCCAACGGAGGGGCCAACCCTGTGAAAACTTTGCAGGGTGTTGCAAAGAAGCTCGGCCTGGGCAGCCTGTCTGCACGGTGAGGGACCCAAGTGTGCTTTATGACTCTGAGCCAAAATCAGATTTGGTGTAATTTCTCATGTTTACTTTATTGCCTTACAGACTGGATGGAGTCAAATATGAAAATGGAAAAATTGTCATCAATCACAAGAAAACTGGCAACAAACCCAAATTCTGCCAGAGGAAGTGGTGTGTACATCAGCACCTAATACTAATAAAAAGCAATTAATAAATAATGTAGATTATCTGATATATTTCTATTATTTTGGTTCTCCACAGCTCCTACCTCTGTGATGTTACTCTGAAATCTGAAGACGGCAAAGAATTTCCTTGTCACAAAAGTGTCCTCTGTGCAAGACTGGGTAAGATGAAACGCATAAAATAAACGCATCCAGAGATGATTTTTATAATCATTCACATTAAAAGGAAATTTAACTGCAGATTATTATTTTGCAGAAACTAATTAAACTAATTAGCATATGTGCAGATTGATCGCAAAAAGTGTTGTGTTGAACTTTTGCTTGTTAAATAAAACCTGTTGCCTTTTGCATATTATTTTAATAAATATTTGTATTTAGATTTTATTGGTTCTGTTTCTGTATACCTGTTAGTTTCCAGGATAGCTTCAGTTTGTGGAATTATTAGCTTCTTGTGTTTTGTTGCCACCACAAATTAGATGGCTGCTAAATGTTTTAAGTTAAGAAAATGAAATGAGTAATGAGTGTTTCTGGGGGTTTTTTTCTACAGAATATTTCAACAGTATGCTTGGAAACCCCTGGATTGAGGTATGGAATGTAATTCACTTGTGCCTCACTGGTACAAACCTGTGTAATTTCCATGCAGAACTACATTATATGGACAAAGGTATTGGGACATCAACCCATTTCACCTACAGGAGCTTTCATGACATCCCATTCTAAATCCATTGGCATTAATATGGAGGTGCACACAGCTTCTAGGAAGGCTTTCTTCAAGTGTGTTAGTGGGAATTTTTGCCCAATCCTCCAGAAGAGCATTTGTGAGGTCAGACACTGATTTTGGACGAGAAGGCCCGGCTCGCAATCTTTAATTCAGTTCTAATTCACCCCAAAGGTGTTTGATGGGGTTGAGATCAGGGCTCTTGCCTTCCCCAAACTGTTCCCACAAAGTTGGAAGCATAGAATTGCCCAAAATGTCTTGGTAAGCCGAAGAATTAAGATTTCCCTCCACTACAACTAAGGGGCCTAGTCCAACCAATGGCAAAGGGACTGAATGAAACACCTGAATTTGATGATTAAAGGTGTGTCCCTGTACTTTTGTACATATAAGGCTTTTCAGGGCTGTTAATACAGAAGTCTTGCGCCCCCTCAGGCCACATCGTGTAATGCACTGGAGATGCCTATCAGCTCAGAGACCCTGCAGGTCATCCTCGAGTATATTTACACAGATGAGTCTCCCACCATCAAAGGTAGCTGCTCAAGTTTTGTGGACTGAAAGTTTTTATGATTGTGCCTAAAAGGGAACAGTAAACAGTGGTTGTTGTTCTCTTGCTTTGCTCGACAGAGTCTCTGAATGTAGAGTTTGTCTGCAGCGTACTGGTTGTGGCCGACCAGCTGCTCATCACACGACTGAAGGAAATGTGCGAGGTCGTCATCACTGAGAATTGTATGTTGTATTTCTCCCCCTGCCCTTTCACCCACCGTCTTTTCCTGTGCCCTTATCTCTTACCAGCTCTTTTCATTTGGACAAAATGCTGCACTGATGTCCTGTAGAAACAATAGTTATGATTGTTTTTAAGGTTAAAAGCAACAGACTGAATGCGATCATGCAGCAGAGTCATTTCAAAGCTGATATGTACTCAATGTGAATAAATAAAGAGGTAAAAAATGAGGCATGGTAAAATTTAAAATTTTGCTGATAGTGTTACAAAAAGTGTTGTTCATATGAATTTAAACTTCATCTTGACTCAAAATGATAAATGGAATGAGGTGTAATGCAGGGTGCAAATCTTGTAACAAATTTGAATATATTTTATCTCTTAATATTTGTGAAAGGGGAACAACTAAAAGAGGACAATTGTTTATTTCTGTATATTTCTAGATCCTCTCTTGTCTGTTTACCTTCTGGACAAAACTAAGATTTTTAAGATCACATGATATGAATCCAGCTTGACTTTACAAATCACAACTTTGGAAAAATAAATTGTAGACACAGTTGCATAATTTCAGTTAAATTGCTCTGAGTTGTTAATTAAGCTGGTTTACTTTCCTCTCCTCAGTGACTCTGAAGAACGCTGCGGAGCTGCTGGAGTTTGCCGCCATATACAACGCAGAGCAGCTGAAACTCTCCTGTCTCCAGTTCATTGTGCTCAACATGGCTGCCCTGCTGGAGTCAAAGTGAGAATCAAGTGTGGAGTTTGGATGGTACTCACAGGGCATACCTCCACCAAAGCACAACAGTCCCCTTAAATTCAGTCAAGTTCCACCACATTGCAGAGATCTGTCCCCTAAACATGCCCGTGTTTTTCATCTAGCTCCATGAAGTGTTCCCAGGAAAATCAGCGATTTAAATTATTTCCAATTATTTCATCATTCATTTCATAGGCCATGTTAAAATGTTCATTCAAAGATCTGTGAAGGCCTCGCCAGCTGCTGATGCTAGTAAAATCAGTAAGTGTAAAAGTGAAAACACTATCAGAATTATTAAACAGCACTTAACTAGAATGGCCTTCAGGATAGAGCATGCTTCTGCCAAGTGCCGCAATGTTAAAAGAATGTTTGAGAAAGATTCTTTGACCAACATTTGTTACTGTACAGCTGTTTAAAAGCTACATTTAAATTCAAAAGATCTGGATTTTATTTGGAATTGATTCTGCACCAGATTAGGCAAACTCATCAATATCAGTCCCCTAAATCATGAATTATTCTCTGAGAAATCAATGAAAATAAATCTACCTCTCTCTGATCCTCCACAATTCAATGGGTTCTTCCCTGACTCATACCTCATCCTTCCACTAAATGCTGTCGTAATGTGTCCTGTAGTTTTTGTGTATCCAAACAAACAAACAATCAAGTGGATGATGATGCATTATGGAAACATAAACTCCATATCCTCCTGGCAGCGGTGACAATGAGCATAGAACACAATACTGTAAGTATCTAGGCAGATAGCATGAAAGTACTGAGCTATTTTAGCCTAGTCAGATTGAACAACCAATATATGCTTTAACTTTCATATGGATACAAAATAATCTGATTGTTTTATAAGCGTATACATGTTACCAGATGGATTTACAGACGTTGCTTTAACTGGGAGGAAAATGTACGACAGAATTTAAACTGGTTACTGTTACCCTTGGCTATTACCTCTTCTAATCTGGTTAGTCGGATCTGACAAACACAGGAAATGAAAAAGTAAATGAAGAATCAACCTTGTACATAGACAACCACCGGGTGGTGTTATTATACAGGGAAATCAATTTGAAAACAGTAAGCCGCATTTGTAGGAGCAGAGCAACAATAATCTGTTATTAGTAAATGTGTGTACATGGGAAATCCGATGTATGCAGCAGGAGATATATATGTGCCACTATAGGAGACAACTAAAAACATGCTTTCTCATCTTTCTCCTACACTTGTTTTTGTGTTGCCCTCAGAGCTCTGGATATTCTTAGTGATGAGGTGCTTTTGGATCTCTCTGCAGCTTACATACGGATGGTGAGTCACCACCTATCCCAATCTGTATGACTCTTCCCATGTCTTCAGTATTCGCTCATTGTTTGTTGATCAGATTTGAGTTATTTACAAAAACAGCTTCCTGGAAGTTCAACGAAGGCAAACACAGGAACAGTAAATGTCAGAGTTTGTTCTCAGTCTTAAAGTGTAATAGCGTCTAGACTCAACTGATCCAGCTCTCCAGCAGTAGCTGATTTAGTAAACTGCAGCAGGGGAATAGTGTTACTGATGTTTTTCTTTCTTATATAACTTGGAGCAGAATGCATCAACTTCTGACCCACGCTATTGGACTTCTGGGAATTATACAGACGTACATGAGCTCCATAAAATCAAATCAAAAGACCAATGGAGATGCAATGTTTTTTAATATACTGTTAAAGGTATTGCTGCAACTGATTGGATAGTTATAATTTCTTTACATAAATGTGTTCAGGATCACATTCTTAATGACAGATATCTATTACTAGAAATGCTTCACTGATGGGGGCTCTTATGTCATCTGTTAAGACTTCTTAATTATTTGTTTGTTTGTTGGTTTTTTCCAGATTCCAGCCATGCAAAGGAGAGTGATCACTCCGTTCAGTGGTGCTCCAGACCTAAGTGTGTATGGAGATGAAGATTTGGACTCAGCCTTAAGCCATAAACCAGAGGAAGAACTGGATCACTCCACCAGGTATGCAGACAGAACTGTTTAATATCGTATTGTTTGTTTTCTTTTCTTGCCTGCTGTGTTGAGTTTCATATCGTCACAAATTGTGTAATACTCCCATTTTAATATCCAGTAATGTATTAAGCATCTTGTAATCAAGCCTAACTTCTGTAAAACACAATATTACTCTTTCATGTGGGTTTAGAGCAGGTTAGATTATAAACCTAAATATGAGAAAAGCAGGAACTTAAGTTGTTTTCAGACACAAACTCCAGAATGCGTCCAGACAATCAGGTCTGCACTCAAGATTTTGCGTTTTACATATGAAGAATGCAGCAGGAGATTCTACGGTCAGATCCATTTACCACAACAGTAAAATCTTTTGAGTGTTCATGCAAGACATAGCGCAGCATTCATGAAGCAAGACATAACATAACAATTCCACTGAAGTGGTTTGATTAACAACTCTGGCATTGTCTTGTATCACCAAAGCTCTAAAATGTCTTTCCAATTTGACATCTTCTCCAGCATCTTCTTCATGAATGGCAACTCTTTTTCATCCTGATTTATTTCTTTTTTTCTTTACTATATTCTCTTGCTGTTTTCTCACATGTGCTCACCTGGACATTATCCAGAGTTTTTAGTAGGGCGCTGGCAAGAGAATGTCTGGACCCTCTGACTCAGACATTTGTGTTCTTACATACAGTCCTTTGGACTTCAGCGCATGTCTTAAAGCACCTTAAAGGTCCAGAGTGTAAGATTTAGGTGGAAGAGATCTATTGGCACACCTTTTGACTATCTATGACAACTGAAGGCTGCTACAGGTTCTCGTTCATGTTTTGAAGGGGAGGGTGAGGTGAGAGGTATTTAGCTGCAACATGCAACTTCACCACTAGATATCACTAAATCTTACACACTGAACCTTTAACTGTAAAGTCCTTGCAATTACTTAAAAGGTGGTACATCAAAAACTGCTCCTGATTGTACATCATTGACCCCCAGGGATGTCCTGTTAAAGAAGGCAAAGATGAAGGCTAAAAAGAAACCAAGGCGTCGTTCTGACAGCTCAGGGGGCTACACTCTCTCCGATATCATCCAGAGCCCACCTGTTACAGGTATAACATATATGCACACGTCATGACAAACCACCTAACTTTTATCAGCTTATTTCCTTTCAGGCAACATGTTGATTGTTCAAGTTTTATATCTGACCTTCAAACATTGTTTCCTCTCAGTGGTCACCCAGAGCCTGGTGAAGACAGGCAAGGCAAACTCCACAGAGTCTCTGCACGAGCTGCTCACATCAGATTCTGAGGGCAGCTACATGGGGCTGGGCAGTCCCAGAGACCTGCAGTCACCTGTCTTCCATGACAGAGTTGAGGTTAATATCTGCCCACTACAGCCATATAAACACATAGTTTGAATACGTTTCCCATTATATATGCAGTGTGCTTAGTGTACAAAATATCAACCAGACACTTTCAATAAAAATCCTTTTTCCATTGTATGATCCAGTGAGAGTAATAGAAAAGTGGCTACACAACATAGACAGGCTGATGTAATACTCAAATACACAACAGATCATAAGTTCTATATCATGTGCAGGATGAGAAGGCTTTCAGTCAGAAGCTGAAGACTCCACCCAGCACCCCAACGTCACTGAGAAATGGCCTCTCAACTTCCCCCAACTCTGCTTCACAACTCATCCCCAATGTTCGTCCAAGGTAAGATGGAAGTGGTCAGGCATATCTTTTTCTTTTATTACATTTACATTTTAAGTTTTCTCTTCTTCTGCAAATCCAAAAGAGCCAGAGACAGAGAGTCCGCAATGCAATTATTTTATATGCTTTAGTAAAGCGCTATAAAAATACAGACCATTTAGTCTTAACCACTCAAAGCACTTTACAGTACAGGTTTTACCATTCACCCATTCACATAAGCATTCAGTGCATCTATAGGTAGCACTTTACTATGAGAATGGCACAGCCGCCAGGCAATTTGGGGGCAACCTGCTCTATCCTCTGAGCAACTGCAGCCCCAGAAAAAAAGCTTTGATATTTGATACTAGTGTGTTGAACAACAGATGTTATTTCTTCCCACTTTAGCAGAAAGAAAGGTTATTTTTCATGCCTAATTTATCAATAACTATTGAAAGTTGTGCGATATGTGTACTTACTTTGTATGTGTGACTGTGTTACAATCTGCAGCCCTGCTCGTCCACCTCCAGTCTTGGATCTGAGAACTATCATGGACATGGAAGCCAACTCTCTGCAGACTCTTGGAGCAACTCCTAAAAGTCCTGGAAGGTATGGGAGGTCTGCGTCATCTACCAGCTAACTGCTGTTTACAGTAACCAGTTAGACTAGTTGGTATGAGGCCATATTAACAGAGGGAAGATGGAAAGCTGTATTGTTACATATGAATTAATTCCTTTCTTTGTCCTCTTTGGCTAACTGAGCATGATAAAATTTTCCCTCCTGCCTGCAGTGTCAGCACCAGCATGAAGCACTCCCCCGTTCCTACTAAACTGTCCCAGAAGCAGAGGAAGATGCTGGCCATGGCCAACAAGGAGGCCAGTGTGGAGTCCACAGCTTCCAAACCAACCCCCACAGCTACCCCATCCAAAAGCAGTGGGAAGGCCTGGTGAGTGAGGCCAAATATGAAGACCACTGTTGTCCACTACTCACTGCTGTTGTGAAATCCCTTCCTGGGGTCTCTGTGGATGGACTTACAGCCTCTCACTGCCTGAGCAGCTGAGAGAAAATAAGATAATAATAATAATACTAGTATAGCACTTTTCTTTGTTGACAGCAAATGTAGGGAGAAAAGGGTTTGACATACCACAACCTCCATTCCCTGACTGGGAATTGAACTGTGAACATCGTGGCTGCATGTTATAGTAACTATTAGGTGACTATGTACATAAAATATATTGTACATATTCTACATAATGTACTGATCTGATAGCTGCATGGTTAATGGAATACCACATGGGTATAGGTGCCCTGTGCAGTAGTTCCTCAGTTTGAATCCTAGCTGGCTGGACCATTCACTGCATGTCATTCCCCTCTGCCCCCTGTGTTTCCTGTTTCTCCCCATTGTTCCTATCTAATTCATTAGGACCAATAATATACAAAGACATATTTTTTATTTTTCCATTTCATTTGTTACTTACTTCTTCGCAATATATACAACAAAACTAGATTCCGCTTGTAGTTGGAGAAAAGGAAGAACACAGATTCATCCTGCTCTCTGTGATTACCTCTATTCTACTTCACTGAGGTCGAACAACCTGATGCCTACAGTTGTCCCGAGATCTATGCTCAAGAGCAGAGGTGACTGGGCCTTTGAAGTGGCTGCAACTAATCTCTGGAACATCTTAACCTTCATACCAGAAGAGCTCTGGCCCTTCAAACATTTAAATAATTCCTTAAGACCCACTTGTTCTCACTGACTTTCAATTCAATTTGAGTATTAGGCCTTGGTTTTCTCGAGTAACTGTGCAATATTTTAACAATTAATTATTCGCAATTAATTCTGATGTTTAATGTTTTATTGCTTTTGTATTTTCTCCCTTTTTAATATATTGTTTTCATATCATATAGCATTTTCTGCAGTATTATGGTCAACATAACTCACTTCCTCTGTGGATGTTCGTTCATGTTGT